CTGTATATATTTTAGTACATAAACATAAACCACATGCTTTTAGTAAACCACGTATAATCGATACTGTAAGAAGATTTATATATATTTTTTAAAAGTATAGCATAAGACAAAAACCACTTTTGTCTTTAGTCTATTTTTTTTAATACTTTGTAGATAGTACTTTAGTTTCCTGCTAAAGAATAATGTGGTCATAAGGTGGAAATAAGAAGGTAATACTGGAAAAATAAGTTATTATTACTTAATTACCAAAGCAATATGCAACTAATAACCAAGTAATATGTCTTAAAAATGGCTATATCTGAATAATATTAAGCTGAAATATATGTAAAAGACTAAGAGGCCAGAATCTGGGGCTAATAATGTGGAAGCAAACGTTTGCTTATGAGGCAAAATTAGTCAGTAATATATAAGTAACCATGTGATCACCTGCTAGCAATAACATAGTAAGATCTGTGTATATACTTACTTTAAAGTAGAAGTGATGCCATAATAACAAGCTAATGTTGGTTGATGTTTTAATATATTAGGATACTAATACAATATCAGGATGATTTAATCAATGTTACCTTTTATCATTCTGCATTCTGCTTTGTTTGAAGGTAACAATGTATTGTTCTTTTCTAATTTTCATGGAAATTCCTACTTTTAACAACCACAAATATGGGACTGAAAAGGGAATTTTTTTTTATGTATCTGTGCCAACAATAATAAAACAGTGTTGCTCCACCAATCTGCCTGTCTATATTTTAGGCTATCATACTGCAGACACAGACACAAAGCTTTGTGACACGCCAACTTTGAATTCACCAAGTGGTTATTTTCCAACAAAAAGCAGATTAAAGTCTTGAACTCTATTAGTGAGTGACATTACTAATGTTATGCATGGTATGTTTCTAGTCATGTACACTCCCTGAACACCAGAACACCTTTTCAAAGGTTTTCTGTTTCTGTTTTCACATTGCACACATATATTTGTGACAGGGGATTTCTAAGAATCACCCCACAATTCTTCAGCTGAGATACCTGAGTTTGAAAACACAAACACTGCAGTTGTCTTTACTTGCGAGGACGGTCACAGAGTGCTCGTACTCGCAGGAGACACTGCGAGTAACTGTCTGTGCTATTTATTTATACAAGCTTGTGTGTGTACAAAGATAACAAAGTTATTCTAAGAACTCAGAGCTGAGGTTCCCCTTTTCTAAGTCTGTATGTTCTTAGAAAAGAGGAAGCTGTTAGTTGCTAAATAAGTTTATCACACAAGAGTTTATGTGAAAAGTCACATAGACATGTGGATTGCTTAGTGATCCATAAAAAGACACATTTCATGTAGCTGATCACACTATGTACAATTTTCTTTTGACAATCTGACTCTTAAAGAAACACAAACATTTTTACAATTAAATACAATTCAACCTGAATTTAAAGGTACAGTCAATATATGTTGGGGTTTTTTTGTTTGTTTTTTTGCTATTTATTGAGAGTCAATGGGTCAATGTATTTTTTATTCTTCAAGTGCCATCGTGCAATGGCCCTATAAGCATTTAAAGGTCTCATCTCCTGAACTGAGTTTAGTGCTTTAAGACATTAAAACATTCATAAATCTGTGCATTTATTCCTGATCTTGTCACAATTGCTTATTGTCAGCAGATTAGACATGCCATCAAATTTTAGGCTTAAGTGTTCTAAAAAATGCATTTTCCTTTTGATTAACTTGTTGATAACATTCTCACATCATATGAGAGTTTGTTCACTAAGTGTCAGAGTCCAACATTAGTTCCACTTCAAAGACACTTACCTTAACACAAGAGAACAGCAGCTAACATAGGCTAATAATAGATAACAGAGGCTAACAGGGCAAAAACAGCAGTGATTACTAACAGAAAACTTCAACCACTCACCCCAGTATATCATAGGCATTAATTAATGTTGGTTGGGGTCATTACTCAAAAAAGGTAATCATTAAACATATTACCCACAACACTTTTTCTTAGTCACTCCAAGATGAAAGTAATTAATTATACTACTCGTTACATTACTTTCCTGTTGTAGTGTTAGCATGCTGTCTTTGCAGATGCTTCCAGAGAGCCAGAGTTGTATGTTTGTCCAATAAGAGCCACAATAACTAAGAACATGCACTTGAATTGTGAAGGGTAAGAAATCAGAACTCAGCTGACTCAAATGTGCTTGGATGACTAGGCATTTGAACTAGTTAGGATTCACTACTTTCATCTGTGCATTATTGCTAAAATTAGAAACATCATGTGTCAGAGGGATGCTGAAAAAGTTTCTGAGAACTAGCTCCTACATTTGTTTGGTAGGTTGGACTAGCATAATCCATTTCTAACACAGTCCTAAAAGAGTGAACACAATGCTCCTTATGACTCCTTTTCTCTGGCTCCATTTGTAATCAAAAATGGAGTTTAAAAAAAGAAAAAGAAAGCAAAGAAAACACCAAACATATACATGTCTCTTCCCATCATTGTTCTGCTATACAAGATATTCTTTGATTATCTATCTCAAGATCATCTTTCAGGCCTGGACTGGCTTTAAAGTTGCTATTTTCATTCTTAAAAGTGTCCCTTGATTTTACTTTAAAAATGATATGCCTACCTCTTTGAGATTGGTCTTGATTTAGCCAGATATGTGAAAGATGTTTTCTGCTTCAGTTAAAGATTTTTTTGTTTTTTCCCATTATCACATTTTTAATTCAAAAACTCATGCTACATCTAGGTGTTTGAACCAGTTATTGACTGATATGCAACGGTCAAATTTTCTTAGGTGATAACACACAGACTGAAAGACCCCAAAGAGCACTTGATTCTCTTTTCTTTTATGTTTTTTAAGGTGACATGTGTCAGACGACAAAACAAAGAGGGATATTGTTAGATATAGATATAGACATAACTAAATATGACAGACGTGAGATACAGCACACTAACTTGTGAGCTCTATTTCCTTGCTTTCCCCCCCAATCTTTAAATTTCAAAAGGGAATGGTTCTCTAGATTTCATTTTAGCATACTCTATACACTCACAGAGAAATGTACTCTGAGGTAAACAAGCCTCTTAGTTGTTGAACAAGATGTTTCTCTTGGTCATATGATACATTACCTAGGAGTAGGAGGAATGTTGCTTGACACGTTGCTTATTGGCTAATGCTCATTTCTGACACAGGCAGAAAGATATATATTCACTGATGCCAATGCTAATACCTGATACAACTGTCATGAAAACTGCAGCAGTGTCATGGTACGGCTGTGAAGTGCAAAACTCCACAAAAAATAAACATGTAAAAAACAAACCTAAACTAGAAACTAGAAGCTAATGCTAGACACGAGGAAACATGGAAATGAGAGACTGAACATGAGGATCAAAGGAAGCATGGGGAGGACAGCTGGGAGGAATCAAAGATGAAGAGACCACGGTGAAGCAAAACTAGACACACTGACATAGGACAAGGGACTGTCAAAGTAAAACACGAAGTATAACACAGACATGGAAAAGACACTGAACAAAGAAAACACGGAGCGAGACAGGAGAGACAAAAGACACGACTGACTGGGGAACAAAAAAATAATAAAAATAACAATACAAAATCAAAACACTGGGTCACCGACCCAGGACCATGACAAGCAGTTTCTAAGAGTAGCTCCTGCATTATTATTTATTTAATTTTTATTTATTATTTACTTCTGCAGTTGCAATTCAAAATTAAGTGAAATATCCTTTTCTTTACATACAAAGTCCAGTATGTTCTTGTTCTAGTCCTGATGTTCTTTCCATATCTGTTGCAGAAGTTTCCATAAATTTGTGGCACTTGTAGGTTGCTTTGCTTTCAGTGTTCTGTCCAGTTCATCCCTTACCAGCTTGATGGGGTTTAAGTCTGGAGTACTGTGCTGGCCACTCCATGTTTTCAAGCTTAATATCTTGCTCTTTTTTGCTGATGTAATTCTGGCATAGCTTGGACTTGTGTTTTGGGTCATTATCTTGCTGTAGAATGAACCCCTGACTAACGAGGCACATACCAAAGTGTATTGCATTGCGCTGCAGAATGATGTGGTAGCTGTTTTGGTTCAGGGTGCATTCTCACTCTGTACAAGTCATCAACCCTGGATCCAGCAAAACAGCCCCAGACCATCACACTTCCTCCTCCATGTTTGACAGTTGATGCCACGCACTGTGGAAACCATCTTTTCACATAATCCACGGCATACAAAGATCCTGCGTGATTAACCAAACATTTCAATTTTGGATTCATCAGTCTGTGGCAGGGTGTGATTGGTGGCTTGGTTGCAGGGGAGGAGTGGAGCAGCAGGTTCAGGGTGTGGTGTCAGGGAAGGCTGGTTTTCCCTATTTTACTAGTGACCAGGCCGGAGAGGAGGAGAGTTGCTGGAGTAGAGCACCTGGACAGATCTGGAGTCAGAGCAGTGTGTGCTGGAAAGTGCAAAGAGCAAAAAGTGTTATTGTACCAAAATAAACAAAGGCAAAACACAGCCTTGTCGAGTCCTGTCGGGTCCTTTGGGTTACACAGTCCATAATACCTTCTTCTAGTCTTTAGTAGTCCAGTACCAGTGTTTCATGGCCCAGGCAAGCCTCTTTGTGTTATTCTGACATCTTAGTAATGGCTTTATTGCTGCAACTCCTCCGGTAAAACCTGCAGCTCGAAGTCTTCTCTTCACAGTTGAAACTGAAACTGAGACCTGCTTACTATGAACACTATTAAGCTGTGTTTGAAGCTGTTGTCCTGTGAGCCACCTATCACGCATTCACTGGACTTGAACTGGAACAACTGAGGTGTTCTAAAACTTTTGACTGGTATACTTATATACATTTTTAAAATTTCCCTCTCGCACCTGCAGGCAGTCTAATCTTCAAGCTTGGGTCCTCTACAACAGACCT